TAAAATAAATACCCCACAAAAATCTTATTTAAGCAATTAGCAAAAAAGATGACCTGTTCTAAAATACTCACAAAAAATCTATTTAATCAATTAGCAAAAAAAAGATGACCTGTCTAAAATACCTCAAAAAACTTATTTAAGCAATTAGCAAAAAAAGATGACCTGTCTAAAAATACCTAAAAAAACTTATTTAAGCAATTAGCAAAAAAAAGATGACCTGTCTAAAATACCCCACAAAATCTTATTTACAATTAGCAAAAAAAGATGACCTGTCTAAATACCCTACAAAATCTTATTTAAGCAATTACAAAAAAAGATGACCTGTCCAAAATATTTCACAAAATCTTATTTAAGCAATTAGCAAAAATATGTCCTGTCTAAAATATTCCAAAAACTTATTTAAGCAATTAGCAAAAAAGATGACCTTATTTAAAATCTTATTTGCCAATTAGCAAAAAGATGACCTGTCTAAAAATACCCCAATAAAAATCTTATTTAAGCAATTAGCAAAAAAAGATGACCTGTCTAAAATAAAATCTTATTTACACAAAAAAGATGACTTATTTAAAATATTAGCAAAAAAGATGACCTGTCTAAAATACCCCACAAAAATCTTATTTAGCATTAGCAAAAAGATGACCCTCTAAAATAATTACAAAAATCTTATTTAATCAATTAGCAAAAAAAAAGATGACCTGTCTAAAATACCCTACAAAAAACTTATTTAAAAAATTAGCAAAAAAAGATGACCTGTCTAAAATACCCACAAAAAAAACTCTTATTTAAGCAATTAGCAAAAAAAAGATGACCTGTCTAAAATACCCCACAAAAATCTTATTTAAGCAATTAGCAAAAAAAGATGACCTGTCTAAATACCCACAAAATCTTATTTAAGCAATTAGCAAAAAAAAAATTTGCCAATGACCTGATGACCTCTAAAATACCCCAAAAAAAATGACTTATTTAACAATTAGCAAAAAAAAGATGACCTGTCTAAAATACCCACAAAATCTTATTTAATCAATTAAAAAAAAGATGACCCTCTTTAAAAAACTTATTTAAAATTAGCAAAAAAAGATGACCTGTCTAAAATACCCCACAAAAATCTTATTTAAGCAATTAGCAAAAAGAAGATGACAAAAACTTATTTAAAATACCCCAAAAAATGTTATTTAAAAATTAGCAAAAAAAGATGACCTTCTAAAATACCCCACAAAACTTATTTAATTTAGCAAAAAAGATGACCTGTCTAAAACTCCCACAAAATCTTATAAAAAAAAGATTAAAAAATTACAAAAAAAAAATTAGAAAAAGATGACCTGTCTAAATACCCCACAAAACTTATTTAAGCAATTAGCAAAAAAAGATGACCTGTCTAAAATACCCCACAAAATCTCATTTAAGCAATTAGCAAAAAAGGATGACCCCCTCCAAAATACCCTACAAAATCTTATTTAAGCAATTAGCAAAAAAAATGACCTGTCTAAAATACACAAAATCTTATTTAATCAATTAGCAAAAAAGATGCCCACAAAATAATTATTTAAAACTTAATTAGCAAAAAAAAAGATGACCTGTCTAAATACCCCACAAAATAACAAAAAAAAGATCTTAAAATTTAAAAAATTTAGCTTATTTAAACAAAAATCTTATTTGCCAATTAAAAAAGATAACCTGTCTAAAATACCCCACAAAAAAACTTATTTATGACCTTAAAATAATTCACAAAATTTAGCAAAAAAAAGATGACCCTCCAAAAATACCTGTCCACAAAAACTTATTTAAGCAATTAAAAAAAAGATGACCTGTCTAAAAATAATACCCACAAAATTTATTTAATTAGCAAAAAAGATGACCTGTCTAAAATTTATTTAAAAAAAAAATGACCTGTCTAAAATACCCCAAAAATCTTATTTAAGCAATTAGCAAAAAGATGACCTGTCTAAAATACCCACAAAACTTATTTAAGCAATTAGCAAAAAAAGATATGACCTGTCTAAAAATACCCCCACAAAAATCTTTATTTAAGCAATTAGCAAAAAAGATGACCTGTCTAAAATAACAAAATCTTATTTAAAAAAAATGACCTTATTTTATTTACAATTAGCAAAAAAAGATGACCTGTCTAAAATCTAAAAACTTATTTTAAGCCAAAAAAGATGAAAAATCTTATTTAAGCAATTAGCAAAAAAAGGATGACCAAAATACCTCCAAATACCTGTCTAAAATACAAAATCTTATTTAAGCAAAAAAAGATTAAAAAAAAAATATGTCCTGTCTAAAATACCCTACAAAATCTTATTTATTTAAGCAATTAGCAAAAAAAAAAGATGACCTGTCTAAAATACCCCACAAAATCTTATTTAAGCAATTAGCAAAAAAAGATGACCTGTCTAAAAATACCCACAAAATCTTATTATTTAAGCAATTAGCAAAAAAGAGATGACCTGTCTAAAATACCCCTGTCTTAAAATACACAAAAAACTTATTTAAGTAATTAGCAAAAAAAAGATGACCTGTCTAAAATACCCCACAAAATCTTATTTAAAAAAGCAATTAAAAAAGATGACCCTCCAAAATATTCTACAAAATCTTATTTAAGCAATTAGCAAAAGAGTAGAAGACCTAGCAATTGATTCAATAGAATCATTCCACTCCATGTTAGTGGAAAACATGGGACTAAGCTATGGAAACTGTAGCAGCAATGCTTAGTGTACTGAGAGCTGTGGTCCCATACTCCTCAGGGAGTCTACAGGTTTTGAGTGATTGAGGGTGAATGTTTATAGAAAACCTTGTTCTTATATTATTATGACAACATGTAAAGAAGCAGTTGCTTCAAACAGTTTCACTCTTTGAAAAGTACATGAAAGACAAGAATAACTTGAGGTAAGAAAACCTGAAAAAAATCTCTCATCAAAAAAGACTATTTTTGTAAGGCAAAAATTATATTTTTTTACTGTCATCTTCCACCTTTAAAAAAATATTGCAATAACCAATAAATACAAAAAAAAAAAGGAATCTGACATGGGGAATTATCATCAGTGTATAACAAATGATTTTCTTGGAAAATCATGGATTAAACAACATAGATAAATGTTTCAGAAAGCAAACATTCATGGGACCCACAATCAGTGATATGCAGGGGCATGGTGATGCCCGAGGCCAACTCCTTGATTGTATATCCCTAAGACTCAAATAGTGAATAACCTATAGGATTTAGTACAGTGTAACCCGGATATAAGAGAGTTGTTGGAACCGGAGAAGAAGTCTCTTATCTCCGGGTTTCTCTTATATCCGGGTTTCTCTTATATACGGGTTTGGTCTATTTTGTTTAGGTAAGTATGGCTCTAATTTAGGACCAGAGAAATATCCGGGTCACACTGTACTGAGAAATGTGAGAAAGGAAGACATCACAAAACAGATGAAACATGAAATAAACACTTTATTCAAATTTAAATGAATAGCAAAGCACATAACAATCATAAAATGTGCTAAAAGTCATACAAGGAATAATTGCTTAAAATGTACCTTAAGATGAAAAAAAATTGTATTTTTCCAGAAAATTACTTGAAAACTACTGAAACAATATCCTTGTGTAATTTAACATCTTTCCAGCTCCATGCTTTCTAGCCAACTTTAATCTGCAAAAATTTAAATGCAATGTCAATCACTATCTACTGTCCTCTTGATTACTCTTTTCTCTTCCCACCCATTATTAATGTTTCTATTCCTAATTCTTCCACACTCAGTAACCCCTTGTCTTAGTGGCTTTACTGCCTTGCTTGGTATGAAACCGATTAAGAAAAAAAATGTAATCATTAGAAGTGAAGTTTTGTTGTAGTTGTTTAATAAATCACAGGTTATATAAACATGGCTTATTTTATAAAAAACATTTCTCAATCACTCACTGAAAATCTGGTTAAAAGAGAATAATATCCAAAGAGTTGGATTTGTGGAATTAAAATTATCCTTTATCTTATGCTGTTGCTATCTTCTAAAACATTGTCTGTATCTTCTCATTCTCTTCCTTATCCTTTTCAATACAACAAAGATTATTCATTGTCTCATGCTTCTGCACTTCTCTAACTCTTTGATTGTATCTTTTCGTTCTCAATTTTATAAACAAGCAGAATAATCATATCAATGTTTGTTTATTGGGGACAAATTTGGGACATTGTTAATTTTCTCTGTTTTACTTTAAAATATCAAACTGACCAATATTTGTGTCAGCTAAAGAATTAATGCTCTCTTTGCAACTATTTGCAATTGTCAGATAATGCTCTCCTTGCAACTATTTCCAATTGTCAGATAACATCAGAAGTAGGAAAGAATTATGAGTTTATGCACTATTGAAAATATTTTTGCTGTTATTTCTTCCTGCCTTCATTGAAATTGTCTCCAGATCAACAAAATCAAGCACCTGTGTTGAAAATGTATCAAATATTAAAATGGAATGGCACAAAATGAAGAGGTGGAATGACGTGAGTATCATGTTGAGATCAATTTCAGCATTTTGAAACCTATCAGGAATTGCATCGATTTTACAAGGAGACTGTCAAAAGGAAGCATATGTATTTGGAAGTATTATGACAACCTCACAGTACTAAAGAATACTTATAATTAAAAAGTAAAATAATACCAAAATGTAATATAAAAAAATGGTAGAATATCAGTAGAACTTATTGCTTTTTGGATTCTTTTTTAGTTGCTCAAACTTTTTTCCCTTTTTCATTTCTAAATCCGAAAGTTCAATTTTATCAGTGTCTCTATGATTTGTATCAATGGCCAGCAGCATGTGGATTCTTTTTATGATTTTCTCTTTGACAAAATCTCCTGGCAGAGCTCTGGAGTAAGGTAAAAGAGTTGTTTTAACAGAATGATGGTGAGTGGAAGAAGACATGGCTAAGATGAGAGAAAGAGAGGAATGGAGAAGTTTGAGAGTAAAGATGGCTAAAGTGATAAAGAAAGAAAGAGAAGAAGCAGTTTGGGGGAAAAGATGGCTAAGGTGAGAGAGAGAGAGAGAGAGAGAGAGAGGAATGGGGAAATTTAATAGAAAAGATGGCTAAAGTGATAGAGGAATGGGGAAGTTTGAGTGTAAAGATGGCTAAAGTGATAGAGAGAGAGAGAGGAAGCAGTTTGGGAGAGAAGATGACTATGGTGAAAGAGAGAGAGGAATGAGGAAGTTTAATAGAAAAGATGGCTAAAGTGATAGAGGAATGGGGAAGTTTGAGTGTAAAGATGGCTAAAGTGATAAAAGAGAGAGAGAGAGAGAGAGAGAGAGGAAGCAGTTTGGGAGAGAAGATGACTATGGTGAAAGAGAGAGAGGAATGAGGAAGTTTAATAGAAAAGATGGCTAAAGTGATAGAGAGAGGAATGGGGATGTTTGAGTGTAAAGATGGCTAAAGTGATAAAGAAAGAGAGAGAGAGAGAGGAAGCAGTTTGGGAGAGAAGATGACTATGGTGAAAAGAGAGAGAGAATGAGGAAGTTTAATAGAAAAATGGCTAAAGTGATAGAGAGAGGGATGGGGAAGTTTGAGTGTAAAGATGGCTAAAGTGATAGAGAGAGAGAGGAAGCAGTTTGGGAGAGAAGATGACTATGGTGAAAGAGAGAGAGGAATGAGGAAGTTTAATAGAAAAGATGGCTAAAGTGATAGAGAGAGGAATGGGGAAGTTTGAGTGTAAAGATGGCTAAAGTGATAAAGAGAGAGAGAGAGAGTGAGAGAGAGGAAGCAGTTTGGGAGAGAAGATGACTATGGTGAAAGAGAGAGGAATGAGGAAGTTTAATAGAAAAAATGGCTAAAGTGATAGAGAGAGGGATGGGGAAGTTTGAGTGTAAAGATGGCTAAAGTGATAAAGAAAGAGAAGAAGCAGTTTGGGGGAAAAGATGGCTAAAGTGATAGAGAGAGAGAGAGAGAGAGAGAGGAATGAATAAGTTTGAGAGAAAACATGGCTAAGGGGATAAAGAGAGAGAGGAAGGAAGCAGTTTGGGAGAAAAAATGGCTATGGCGAGAGAGAAAAAACTATAGAAATGAAGCAGTGAGAGAAAACATAGCTAAGGTGAGAGAAAAAAGAAAGAAAGAAAAGAAAGAGAGCAAGAGAGGAATGAGAAAAGAAAGGAGAGAGAGAAAAGAAAGAGAGAGCAAGAGAGGAATGAGAAAAAGATAGCTGAGGTGAGAGAAAGAAAAGAAAGAGAGAGCAAGAGAGGAATGAGAAAAGAGATAGGTGAGAGAAAGAAAGAAAGAGGGAGCAAAGAGGAAAGAAAAAGAGGGAGGTGAGAAAGAAAATGAGAAAAGAGAGGAATGGAGAGATAGCTGAGGTGAGAAAGGAAAGAGAGAGCAAGAGAGGAATGAGAAAAGATAGCTGAGGGGAGAGAAGGAAAGAAAGAGAGAGCAGAGAGAATGAAAAAGATAGCTGAGGTAGTGAAAAGAAAGAAAGAGAGAGGAGAGGAATGAGAAAAGAAAGAAGAGGTGAGAGAAAAGAAAGAAAGAAAGAGCAAGAGAGGAATGAGAAAAAAGAGCTGAGGTGAGAGAAAGAAAGAAAGAAAGAGCAAGAGAGGAATGAGAAAAGAGAAGGAGGTGAGAGAGAAAGAAAAGAAAGAGAGGAAGAGAGGAATGAGAAAAGATGATGGAAGAAGAGAGAAAGATGATGGAAAGAGAGAGAAGAGGAATGAGAAAAGATAGACTGAGGTGAGAGAGAAAAGAAAGAAAGAAAGAGGAAGAGGGAATGAAAAGAAGCTGAGGAAAGAGAAAGAAAGAAAAGAGAGAGAGAGAGAGGAATGAGAAAAAAGATGAACAGGTGAGAGAAAGAAAGAAAAGAAAGAGAGAGCAAGAGAGGAATGAGAAAAGATAGCTGAGGTGAGAGAAAGAAAAGAAAAGAGAGAGCAAGAGAGAATGAGAAAAGATAAAGGAGGTGAGAGAGAAAAGAAAGAAAAAGCAAGAGCAAAAAAATGAGAAAAGATAGCTGAGGTGAGAGAAAGAAAGAAAGAAAGAGAGAGCAAGAGAGGAATGAGAAAAGATAGCTGAGGTGAGAGAAAAGAAAGAGAGAGCAAAGAGGAATGAGAAAAGATAACTGAGGAGAGAAAGAAAGAAAGAGGAGCAAGAGAGGAATGAGAAAAGATAATGAGAGAAAGAAAGAAAGAAAGAGAGAAAAAGAGGAATGAGAAAGATGAGCTGAGGTGAGAGAAAAAAAAGAAAGAGAGAAAGAGAATGAGAAAAGATAGCTGAGGTGAGAGAAAGAAAGAAAGAGAGAGCAAGAGAGGAATGAGAAAAGATAACTGAGGGGTGAGAGAAAGAAAGAAAGAAAAGAGCAAGAGAGGAATGAGAAAGATAAATGAGGTGAGAGAAAGAAAGAAAGAAAGAGAAAAGAGAGAAATGAGAAAAAGATAGCTGAGGGGTGAGAGAAAAGAAAGAAAGAGAGAAAGAGAGGAATGAGAGAAAAGATAAGAGAGAGAAAGAAATGAGAAAAGAGGAATGAGAAAAGATAAAGGAGGTGAGAAGGAAAGAAAGAGAGAGCAAAGAGAGGAATGGAGAAAAGATAGCAGGGTGAGAGAAAGAAAAGAGAGAGCAAAAGAGGAATGAGAAAAGATAGATGAGGTGAGAGAAAGAAAGAAAGAGAGAGAAAAGAGAGGAATGAGAAAAGAAGAGAGGAGGTGAAAAAAGAAAGAAGAGAAAGATGATAGAGAGAATGAGAAAAGATGATTGAAAGAAGAGAAGGAAATGATGAGAAGAGAGGAATGAGAAAAGATAGCTGAGAGGAGAAGGAAAGATGGAAAGAAGAGAGGAAGATGATGGAAAGAAGATGAAAAAAGAGAGAGAAGAAGAGAGGAATGAGAAAGAAGAAGAGGTGAAAAAGAAAGAAAGAAGACAAAGAGATGGAAAGAAGAAAAGAAGATGAGGTGGGAGAGAAGGAAAAGAGAGAGCAAGAGGGAATGAGGAAAGATAACTGAGGAAAGAAAGAAAGAAAGAAAGAGCAAAAGAGAGGAAAGAGAAAAAGATGAGGGGAGAGAAAGGAATGAGAGAGAGCAAGAGAAAATGAGAAAAGAGGAAAGGTGAGAGAAAGAAAAGAGGAAGAAGAGAGCAAGAGAGAATGAGAAAAAGAGATGGAAAGTGGGGAGAAAAGAAATGAAAAGAGAGAGCAAGAGAGGAAATGAAAAAGAGAGAGAGGTGAGAGAAAGAAAGAAAGAGAGAGCAAGAGAGGAATGAGAAAAGAGATGAGGTGAGAGAAGGAAAGAAAGAGAGAGCAAAAGAGGAATGAAAAGAAAGATAGGTGAGGAAAGAAAGAAAGAGAGAGCAAGAGAGGAATGCAAAAGATAGATGGAAAGAAGAGAAAAGAAAGAGAGAGGTGAGAGGAAGGAAAGATAATTGAGGGGAGAGAAAGAAAGAAAGAGAATGAAGAGGGAATGAGAAAGAGGCTGGAGAGAAAGAAGAGAAAGAAGAGAGGAGAGGAAGAGAGGAAATGAGAAAAGATGAGAGAAAGAGGTGAGAAAAGATAAGAAAGAGAGAGCAAGAGAGAGGAATGAAGAAAAGAAAGAATGGAAAGAGAAGGAAAAGAAAGAGAGAGAAGAGAGGAATGAGGAAAAGAAAATTGAGGGAGAAAAAGAAAGAGAGAAAGCAAGAGAGGAATGAGAAAAAGATAACTGAGGGGTGAGAGAAAGAAAGAAAGAGAGAGCAAGAGAGGGAATGAGAAAAGATAGCTGAGGTGAGAGAAAGAAAAGAGAGAGAGCAAGAGAGGAATGAGAAAAATAGCTGAGGTGAAAGAAAAGAAAGAAAGAGAGAGCAAGAGGAATGAGAAAAGATAGCTGAGGTGAGAGAAGGGAAAGAAAGAGAGGAGCAAGAGAGGAAATGAGAAAAGATAGGAGGTGAGAGAAGGAAAGAAAGAGAGAAGAGAGGAATGAGAAAAGATAGCTGAGGTGAGAGAAGGAAAGAAAGAGAGCAAGAGAGGATGAGAAAAGATAACTGAGAGAGAGAGAAAAGAAAAGAAAGAGGAAAGAGAAAAGGAATGGGAGAGAAAGAAAGAAGGAGGTGAGAGAAAGAGAAAGAAAGAAAGAGAAAGAAGGAAAGAGAGGAGAATGAGAAAAGATAGGAGGTGGGAGAAAGAAAGAAAAGAGAGAGCAAGAGAATGAAATGAGAAAGGAGGGGAGAAGGAGGAGAGAGCAAGAGAGGAAATGAGAAAAGAAAGAGAGAAGGAAAGAAAGAGAGGAATGAGAAAAGATAGCTGAGGTGAGAGAAGGAAAGAAAGAGAGAGAGAGAGAATGAGAAAAGAAATGAGAGAAAGAAAGAAAGAGAGAGGAATGAGAGAAAGAAAGAATGAGAGAAGGAAAGAAAGAGAAAAGAGAGAAGGAGAGAAAGCTGAGGTGAGAGAAAGAGAAAGAGAGAGCAAGAGAGGAATGAGAAAAGATTGAGGTGAGAGAAAGAAGGAAAAAAGAGAAAAAGAGAAAAAAAGGAATAGAAAAAGAGAGAAAGAAGGAAAGAGAGAGAAAGAGAGGAAAAGAAAAGAAACGAAGAGAAAGAAAAGAAAAAGAGAGAAAGAGAGGAAATGAAAAAGAAAGAAAGAGAGAAAGAAAGAGAAAGAGAGGAATGAGAAAAAAGATAAGCTAGGTGAGAGAAAAGAAAAAGAGAGAAAGAGAGGAAAGAGAAAAGAGAAAAAAGGGGAGAGAAAAAGAAAGAGAGAAAAGAGAAAATGAGAAAAAAGAGAAAGAGGAGAGAATGAAAATGAAAAGATAAGGAATGAGAAAAAGAGAAGAAAAGAAAAGAAAAAAGAGAGAGCAAGAGAGGAATGAGAAAAAATAAGAAGGAGGGAAAAGAGAAGAAAGAAAAGAGAGCAAGAGAGGAATGAGAAAAGATAGCTGAGGTGAGAAAAGAAAAAGAAAGAAAGAGAGAAAGAGAAAATGAGAAAAGATAAAGGAGGGGAGAGAAGGAAAGAAAGAGAGAGGAAAAGAGGAATGAGAAAAGATAGCTGAGGTGAGAGAGAAGGAAAGAAAGAGAGAGCAAAGAGGGAATGAGAAAAGATAAATGAGGGTGAGAGAAGAAGGAAAGAGAAGAAGAGAGGAATGAGAAAAAAGAATGAGGGGAGAGAAAGAGAAAGCTGGAAAGAGAGAAATGAGAAAAAAGCTGAAAAAGAGAAAGAAGAAAGAGAGAGAGAGGAATGAGAAAAAGATAGCTGAGGAGAGAAAGAAAGAAAGAGAGAGCAAGAGAGGAATGAGAAAAGATAGCTGAGGTGAGAGAAGGAAAGAAAGAGAGAGCAAGAGAGGAATGAGAAAAGATAACTGAGGTGAGAGAAAGAAAGAAAGAAAGAGCAAGAGAGGAATGAGAAAAGATAAGAGGAGAGAAAGAAAGAAAGAGAGAGCAAGAGAGGAATGAGAAAAGATAGCTGAGGTGAGAGAAAGAAAGAAAGAGAGAGCAAGAGAGGAATGAGAAAAGATAGCTGAGGTGAGAGAAAGAAAGAAAGAGAGAGCAAGAGAGGAATGAGAAAAGATAGCTGAGGTGAGAGAAAGAAAAGAAAGAGAGAGAGAGGAAAGAAAAGATAGCTGAGGTGAGAGAAGGAAAGAAAGAGAGAGCAAGAGAGAATGAGAAAAGATGAGGGAGAGAGAAAGAAAGAGAGGAGAGGAAATGAGAAAAGAGAGAGGTGAGAGAAGGAAAGAAGAGAGAGCAAGAGAGGAATGAGAAAAGAGAAGAGGTGAGAGAAGGAAAGAAAGAGAGAGCAAGAGAGGAATGAGAAAAGATAGCTGAGGTGAGAGAAAGAAAGAAAGAGAGAGCAAGAGAGGAATGAGAAAAGATAGCTGAGGTGAGAGAAAGAAAGAAAGAGAGAGCAAGAGAGGAATGAGAAAAGATAGCTGAGGTGAGAGAAAGAAAGAAAGAGAGAGCGAAGAGGAATGAGAAAAGATAGTGAGGAGAGAAGGAAAAGAAAGAGAGCAAGAGAGGAATGAGAGAAAAGATAGCTGAGGGGAGAGAAGGAAAGAAAGAGAGAGCAAGAGAGGAATGAGAAAGATAAAGGTGAGAAGAAAGAAAGAGAGAGCAAGAGAGAATGAGAAAAGATAGCTGGAGGGGAGAGAAAGAAGGAAGAGAGCAAGAGAGGAATGAGAAAAAGATAGTTGAGGTGAGAAAGGAAAGAAAGAGAGCAAGAGAGAATGAGAAAAAGAGAGAAGGAAAGAAAGAGAGAGCAAGAGAGGAATGAGAAAAGATAGCTGAGGTGAGAGAAGGAAAGAAAGAGAGAGCAAGAGAGGAATGAGAAAAGATAGCTGAGGTGAGAGAAGGAAAGAAAGAGAGCAAGAGAAATGAGAAAAGAAGGAGGGAGAAAGAAAGAAAGAGAGAGCAAGAGAGGAATGAGAAAAGATAGCTGAGGTGAGAGAAAGAAAGAAAGAGAGAGCAAGAGAGGAATGAGAAAAGATAGCTGAGGTGAGAGAAAGAAAGAAAGAGAGAGCAAGAGAGGAATGAGAAAAGATAGCTGAGGTGAGAGAAGGAAAGAAAGAGAGAGTGCAGAGAGGAAAGAAAAGATAGGCTGAGGTGAGAGAAAGAAAAAGAGAGAGCAAGAGGAATGAGACAAGATAGCTGAGGTGAGAGAAAGAAAGAAAGAGAGAGCAAGAGAGGAATGAGAAAAGATAGCTGAGGTGAGAGAAGGAAAGAAAGAGAGAGCAAGAGAGGAATGAGAAAAGATAGCTGAGGTGAGAGAAAGAAGGAAAGAGAGAGCAAGAGAGGAATGAGAAAAGAGAGGAGGTGAGAAAAGAAAGAAAGAGAGAGCAAGAGAGGAATGAGAAAAGAAGGAGGGGAGAAAAGAAAGAAAGAGAGAGAAGAGAGGAATGAGAAAAAGATAGCTGAGGTGAGAGAAGGAAAGAAAGAGAGAGCAAGAGAGGAATGAGAAGATAGCTGAGGTGAGAGAAGGAAAGAGAGAGCAAGAGAGGAATGAGAAAAAGAGAAGCTGAGGTGAGAGAAGGAAAGAAAAGAGAGAGCAAGAGAGGAATGAGAAAAAGAGAGAGGGGAGAGAAAGAAGGAAAGAGAGAGCAAGAGAGGAATGAGAAAAGATAGCTGAGGTGAAGAAGGAAAGAAAGAGAGGAAGAGAATGAGAAAGATAGTTGAGGTGAGAGAAAGAAAAAGAGAGAAAGAGAGAGGAATGAGAAAAGATAGCTGAGGTGAGAGAAAGAAAGAAAGAGAGAGCAAGAGAGGAATGAGAAAAGATAGAGGGGAGAGAAAGAAGGGAAAAGAGAGCAAGAGGAAATGAAAAGAGAAAGAGAAGGGGAAGAAAGAGAGAGCAAGAGAGGAATGAGAAAAAGATAGCTGAGGGAGAGAAAGAAAGAAAAGAGAGAGCAAGAGAGAATGAAAAAGAGAGCTGAGGTGAGAGAAAAAAAAGAAAGAGAGAGCAAGAGAGGAATGAGAAAAGATAGCTGAGGTGAGAGAAAGAAAGAAAGAGAGAGCAAGAGAGGAAATGAGAAAAGATAAGCTGAGGTGAGAGAAGAAAAGAAAGAGAGAAGCAAGAGAGGAATGAGAAAAAAGATAAGCTGAGGTGAGAGAAGAAAGAAAGAGAGAGCAAGAGAAATGAGAAAAGATAAGGAGGTGAGAGAAAAGAAGGAAAGAGAGAGCAAGAGAGGAATGAGAAAAAGATAGCTGAGGTGAGAGAAAGAAAGGAAAGAGAGAGCAAGAGAGGAATGAGAAAAGATACGCTGAGGTGAGAAAAGAAAGAAAGAAAGAGAGAGCAAGAGAGGAATGAGAAAAGATAGCTGAGGTGAGAGAAAGAAAGAAAGAGAGCAAGAGAGGAATGAGAAAAGATAGAAGAGGTGAGAGAAGGAAAGAAAGAGAGAGCAAGAGAGGAATGAGAAAAGATAAAGGAGGGGAGAGAAAGAAAGAAAAAGAGAGCAAGAGAGAATGAGAAAAAAGATAGCTGAGGTGAGAGAAAGAAAGAAAGAGAGAGCAAGAGAGGAATGAGAAAAGATAGCTGAGGTGAGAGAAGAAGAAAGAGAAGCAAGAGAGGAATGAGAAAAGATAAGAAGGAGGAGAGAGAAAAGAAAAGAGAGAAAAAGAGGAATAGAAAAAAAGATAAGGAGGTGAGAGAAAGAAAAAAGAGAGAGCAAGAGAGGAATGAGAAAAGAAGCTGAGGTGAGAGAAAGAAAAGAGAGAGCAAGAGAGAATGAGAAAAGATAAGGGAGGTGAGAGAAAGAAAGAAAGAGAGAGCGAGAGAGGAATGAGAAAAGATAGCTGAGGTGAGAGAAGGAAAGAAAGAGAGAGCAAGAGAGGAATGAGAAAAGATAGCTGAGGTGAGAGAAGGAAAGAAAGAGAGAGCAAGAGAGGAATGAGAAAAGATAGCTGAGGTGAGAGAAGGAAAGAGAGAGCAAGAGAGGAATGAGAAAAGATAGCTGAGAAAAGAAAGAGAGAGCAAGAGAGAATGAGAAAAGATAGCTGAGGGAGAGAAAGAAAGAAAGAGAGAGCAAGAGAGGAATGAGAAAAGATAGCTGAGGTGAGAGAAAAAGAAAGAAAGAGAGAGCAAGAGAGGAATGAGAAAAGATAGCTGAGGTGAGAGAAAGAAATGAGGCAGTTTGAGAGAATAACTTGTTAAGAGCATAAGAAATGATAAAAGAAGATGGTGGAGTGATTAGTGAGTCCCACTTAGGAGAAAGAATTGATGATCTCTCACCTGACTTCAATCAATGCTTGCTTTATTTTTAGGCTTTTATATTCAGTTCATACACATACAGACACTTATCACTAGTTTTTCAATTCCCCACACACAGGCAATATGTCTTTTACATGAGATGTTCATCCTTTGACTATTATATGATCCATGGATGACTGCTTCTGTCAATTATGTCATGGTTAAAAGGGGGAAGGGGAAACATAGGCATTGAATATAGTTTCTACTTCAATAAGTTTTTCACTTTCACTCAACCATAAGTCTAACTCCGAAGAAGGGGCCAATTTCTTTGCAACTTGCAGTTCCTAAAAGAGCCACTGGATAATTCTATACACACCAAGCTTTTACTTTTGTTCATTTTTATCTTTATTGTATTATGCCCATTATAACAAACCACCCTCATTCCCTTTGTATTTGATTGGTGAGATGTAAGTTCCACTTGAGCAGTTTCTTCCCACAAACTGCTCCTTTGTAGAACTGACTCCCAAGAGGATGCTTCTCCGATCACTACAATCTTAACAAATTCAAGTCTAGGGTTAACCATTATCTTCCCTACATATCCGTATAAACTCTCTCTTACTCTGTAACCCTTTACCTTGAGTGGCTCTTGGGCATTGTATAGAATGAATCTCATTGTAAAAAAAAATGTTCCCTCTGACCTTTAAGCTGATGTTTAAAGTATGCAATTAGATCATGGTGAGACTAATCCATTTCTTTAATAACTCTTGTCAATGTGTGAGAAAGAAAAAAATGGATAGAAAGAAGAAAGGGATAGAATTAAGGGGTTAGAGAAAGAGAGTTAGAGAAAAAGTAAATGAGGATATTAAAAAACTTAGCTAAATGAATGCATGTTTGCAAGGAAGGTATTCATTTTTTTAAATACAGCTTAAATAACAATAATTGTGATTAAGTTTTCAACACAGATTTTAATAGAGATTCATACAATTTCAATACAGACTAGCAGTAGAGCCCGGCGTTGCCCGGGGATGTAACAGTAAGAGATAGATCAAGTATCGACCATCATAAAGACTGAAAAATAAAATTGACAAAGATTATTGTTTAAGGTTGACGGACACGCATGTCTTAATTTTTTTTTTTTTTTTTTTACGAATTGGTCAAACCCAAACTCAAACAAAAACATTGTTTTCAATCGTTATGAGTCTATCGATTGGTGAATAGAATTTTATTATAAACAATTGTCTTGTAAATGGAATTTTTAAAGCATTCTGAATGTAAAAATAAAGAAAAAAAGTGTGCAAGACAATAAGAAACACTACCTGCCAGTTTTGTTGAAATCGGTTGAAAAATGTAGGAAATCCGATCCCATATATAAACGAACACACACACACACACACACACAAACAAACAAACAACCTGGGTTTTATAATAAGTATAACTCGATATTAATAAGTATAACTTGATATGAGTTGTCTCCATTTCATTAATGCCTCTTAATCGTGTTTTCAAATTGATTTAGTGCAAAAACAATTGTTTTTCCAATTTTTGGCGCTGTCAGAACCACCGCAAGGAAATTTTACGTAGTCCTGTGAAGTTTTGTTGAAATCGGTTAAAAAATGTAGGAAATCCGATCCAATATATAAACGTACAGACACACACACACACACACACAACCTGGGTTTTATAATAAGTAAGATTTCAATACAGATTTATTTCTTTTTTGTTTCACTTTAGCTGATAAGTAGCTATTTGTATAATAAAGGGGGGGGATACCCATTAGAGGCCTGGTTCTTTCATTCTTAAAACAGCAATATAAATAATAGATATGTATTCCCACATTCTTTCAGTATCTGAGGATAAAATGAATGTCAGAAATATAATTTCTCTTTTTAATATTCTGTTTTATTTATCAGAATTTAAATTATCTTCTATTTCTACAGATTAACTTTTACTTTTATTCCCAGTTAAAAATTACAATGTTTGAAGTAATGGCCACTTTCCTCCTCATTATGTTTGAATGGTAAATTTTCAGTAACATGTGTAAAAATAAAAAAAAAAAACAATTATTATTATATATTTTTCTTTGTCACATTCAAATACTTTAGTTGAAAATAGGATCTTTTCCCCACCTTCACCTTAATAGCCAGTACATCACAAATAATATATTTAGTCTTTCCTTCATGTGGCAAACATTTCCAATTACCTTCAGTCATGAAAAACTATCATTAGATTTGAAGTTGAGCCTCATCCATCACATCAAATAAATTCAGTGTCAAGTAGAAATTGATCTTGAATGTGCAAAAAGTCTCTTTAAGAATGAACTGGTGAGCTGTCAATATTATCAGAAATCTATGGGAATAAAATGAATATTTAATGAAGAAACCAATTATAGCAAAGCCATTTTAATATCTTTTAAACATCATTAGTTTTTAATGAGACAAATGATGTTGATTTCAACTCCACACTGCATTGGCTGAACACACTTGAATGTTTGGATGAAGTTCAACATTTTCCAATTTTTCTAAAAGAGGAATTATTGTTAAAGGAAAATTAGCTCATTGTTTGATTTTGTTTCATAGTCGGCCGATCTTTGCTCTCTTTTAGATTGACATCTCATGAAACTTATAATTGGCATTTTAATTAAATATTTCTGCTGTATTTTTATTTACTCCAATTCACTTATTTACACAACTAGACGAAAAAAAATGAAATCTAATGTTTTTGTTTTCATAGCTTTTTTTCACTTATGTAATGTAGAATTGTTAAAATGTAATTTCAGGCCAGAGGAAACATTTCAGTCAAAAATGGGCCGTTTGTAAATGAATTGTTACTCTCCTCCTCTTAAAATAGTAGTCCCTTTACAAGTGGAGTTCTGTGTCAGATATTAAAGGCACTTGCAAATGCTGGTGTTTTGTAACCATAATTCTACACGTGAATACAATAATGAAACAGAAAAGCAAACAAACAAGAAAGAAGTTGAGTTACATTTAAAATGACTAAATGATTGAGAGTGAAGAAGCTCTCGAGAGAAAAATCAAGTAATTTCCGATGGCAGTTGTCTGGTTGTAAACAAATTGGAATGACAGTTTCCTGAATGAGGATTGCTTCTTCCGCCAAAGCACGCATCCAGAGTAGCAGGAGGCAAAATAAGATGGAGGAAAGATAAAAAGAGTGTAAAGTGAGGTTCTGATAGTAAACAAAGAGTAATGTGTAATTTTTAAGTAGGAAAAAAGAGATGTTGAGAGACAGAGAGAGTGAGATTGGAGGAAAGATGGAAAGAAAGGGATATGGTGAGAGAGGGAGAGAGAGATGGGGAGAAATAGAAATATAGGAGTGAGAGAGAGATGAAGAGAAAGATTGAGAAAGAGATGGGGAGAGTAAGAGAGATGAGGAAATATAGAGTGAAAGATATAGATAGAGAGTGTAACAGAAGTAAGAGAGATAAAAAAAACGAGTGAGAGAAGTGGAGTGAGGTGAAAAAGAGAAAGAGAGAGGTACGGAGAAATAGAAAGCTGAGAGTGAGATGAAAATGGAGAAAAAATATGGGGAGCGAGAGAAGTGGAGAGGTGAAAAGAGAGAGGTACAGAGAAATGGAAAGCTGAGTGTGAGATGAAAATAAAGAAAAAATATGGGAAGTGAGAGAGAAAATGAACGTGGTGGACATGGAGAGTGAGAAAGAGATGGGGAGATATGGAAAGAGTGAGAAAGAGATGGGGAGATATGGAAAGAATGAGAAAGAGATGGGGAGATATGGAAAGAGTGAGAAAGAGATGGGGAGATATGGAAAGAGTGAGAAAGAGATGGGGAGATATGGAAAGAGTGAGAAAGAGATGGGGAGAATGAGAGAGATGAGGAGAGAAATATAGGAGTGGGAAATGGAAATGGACAAAAAGATGTAATAAGAGAGGAAAAGAAATGAATAAAAAGACAGACAGAAAGAGAAAGGGTGTGAAATCAGTTATAAAAGAAGCAGATGAAATATCTATCTTTTCATGGATCTCTCACCTGTCATTAGAAATCAGCCTACTTGAACTACTTTATAGTGTGGTTATCACTATTTAGAAAATGGCTACTAAGTTATTGTTTGTGTAAATAAAGGCCTTTGCAAAATGGCTCAGTAGAACATTACGTTTTTTGCTTGATTTGATCCTTGAAGAATGAGATCCAAGATCACATTAAAAGGTTGATTGGTTTGTTTCTTCTCCAGCAAGGAGAGAAAATAAATGTGTTTACTGGGGTCTGCTCTGTGTTCACCTGATTGTTATTCTATTAAAGTGAAGGAAATGATATGTAAGATTTGTGAAAGTGACAGGAAAAGACAAATTGAAACAAAGATTAATCATTCAAACCTGATATATAGAAAGAAATATAAAGGTGTCCGCTATAGAATGATGATAAAACAATTTATTTTGTATGTAGTCTCTCTGAAATGTATCCAACCATTTAATATTAAAAAGGGGAAAACATAGCCTATCAAGGGCAATGTCATTTTAATGTACATTCCTCTTCAGACTTCATAAACTTATTCTAACATCTCTTTTACCTTTTTAAAAATCCTCTTCACAGATTTTCATCAGTCGTCTTATCTCGTAAATTATATTCTCAGTCTGAAATAACTCCAAAATAAGTTTAGAGATGGCTTTTTGTTCAAGTATTATAACTTAGTTTTATTTTAGTATATTAAAAACATATATATATATATAAGGGGACATTGAGGTCAACGCTGAGTGGCAACAGTCTGCTTGAACGCAATCTTCGGACCATGTCTTATATTTACATATGCTCTATATTTGATATTGAACACTTTACTCATAAATATAGTATACCTTAAAACTATATATATATATATATATATATATATATATATATATATATATATATATAACAATACATAAAATATATGTAAAATATACATACAATACATAAGGATATATATATATGTTCTCCATTTCTTCTTTGAATAATTTTGCAAT